CAGAACACCAGAAGTTCCCTAAATACTGCAGCTCAACTAGATGAAATTCTCCTGCTTTCGTCTGATCAGTTCATGTATTGTTCTAAATGATATTAGTCCCTGAGTTACACTACCTGCATCATCCTCTTTCATAGCTCACACATACACTCACTATATATAAAATAATCATCTAATCAAGTTATCACACATTCAGATACCTACTGTGCAAATAGCAATTGAGGCTATATACCTCAGCAGAGAGATATAACAAATACCTGGGAGCTAGAATTTCAGAAATAGGAATTTATTAAACAAATAAGATTAACGGATTTAAAAAATAATAATTAAGATACATAAACTAGAGATGGAGTTGTGCTGCTGCTAGAATTTCAGAAATAGGAATTTATTAAACAAATAAGATTAACAGATTTTAAAAAATAATAATTAAGATACATAAACTAGAGATGGAGTTGTGCTGCAGCTTGTGTGTTTTGCACAAATTACTTTACATTCCTGACTCAGAGATGATACTGCTTTGAATTTGTATAGTGATATGATATATGGCATCAACAACAACATTAAACTGATAATAACAAAAATAATATATTGCTACTAGATCAGGACAAAATTCTGTTTGTGAACTGATGCTGAAAAACAACTGAATGAAGAATGTTTAGATGGTATGTTTGTCAAAGCTGAATAACAGTGGGAGTATTGAAATCAAATCTTATTTTGTCATTAAATGATGTATAAAATGTATGTTCACAGAGTTTATGATTATTTTTTAGTGTTTATGAAGTTCAGAGGTGTGTTTTATTACTGATTTTATCCCATTTGGAAGAAAATTATATTCATTAGCACCTTAAAATGATTTCCCCTTGATTGCTATTGGTTATAAAATGTGTATAGGATAAAATTGCTTACTGTAAAGGAATGGAAAGAAAGGATGACTGAGAATACAAATGTAAGCCAAAGTTTCCGGCAATAGAAATGCATGGTGTTCAATGAATAATCTATGTATGGAAGTCTTTTCTATGTCTTTGAATAGGGTTGTATGACAGATGTGAGCCATGGATACTGCACTTAAACCCATTCCAAAAATGTATTAGTGTGTTTCATGTTGTTCAAAGCACATTGTGGCTTTTATATGGCACATAAACCTTAAACCTTACTTGCAAAAGCTCTTATTGTCCAGTCAATATACGATGAGGATATAGATATAGAAAAGTAAATTCTTGACCACTGATTCAAATACATAAGGCAAGATCACTACTTCTGTTTGGTCAGAATTAGCAGGATAACAGATAGAAAACATGACATAAAACGTTTTTCTCTGTGCATTGTCAGTAGTGTAACATATAAGGCTTAAAAAGAATTGATTTGATGAAATAAATGATAGTGCTGGTTTAAGCTCTTGTCACAGAGCAGAATCAAAGATGAGAGGGATGATGATCTTATACCATTGTCTGATGAATAGAAAACTACTGTAAAAGTACTGTATGCTTTGCATGTATATTACCGTGAGGTTGAACATGCATTTGAGTACTGCTATGCTTTTGCTTGGCTTAACTCCTTTATTAAAGAAGGAAGGTTGTAAGTGAAAATTAACCTTTTTTCAGTTGCATTTGAGTCCAAATTTCACAAGATAATTTAAAAAAAAAAAATTCAATTATGATTTTCATAGTTTTGTTTATTAGTCTATAAGATTTGATTGTTGACCTTCATCTTTGGAGAAAAGAAAAGTGCAGAGTTTTGATAAGCTGTATTTACAACAAGACAGAATATGGTTCAGCATAATTCTTTATATTTCTCTGAGGAACAATATATGAGGATTCACAGTTAATACTTGCCTCTAATGTTTTTAAGGTGCTGTAACTTTTGAGCTACTGGTTATTTGGCTGTGCTGCGGACATGGTGAAACCCAGATGTGACTCCGCAGTGCCACAGAAATTAACAAACACATACAAGTACCAGACTGCAGACTGCCAGATCAAGTGACTAGATCACTGATCACATTTTATATTGAAGATTTGTAAGTGTCCGTGTGATTCTTTACTTTTTTTCTTTTTTAAAAAAAAGATTAAGACTAAATGTAAAAAGAAAATAGTCATGATGTGCTGTGCAAAACATCCCTTCAAAACATGTTTTAGTTATTTTAGTTCACTGGGTTTGTTCAGCAACTATATATAATAAGCCTAAGTTTTTTTTAAATATATATATATATTTTTTTTCTTCTTTTAGTTTTAGTAAACTATAAAAACACTGCTACATCTTGAGTGCAATACAGTTTAAGATAAAACACTCAATATTGTCTCCACATAATCTAAAGAATTAAACTGAACTTGAATACACTTTATTTGGATGTCAAGCCTGGAAAGACACAAAAGAGGTTCATATACTCTAGTCTAGATGACTGAAAGGTTTGTGAGCATAGAGAATCAGTGTATTACAGCAACATACCAGTGTTGAGATCTGGCAGCTGGCAGCTGGCTGAATTCACATGACGGTGACATCACTGTCTGGGTCACATGCCTATTATCGTTTTTTTCCCTCCGTTTGTTTCTAAGAGAAAAGACATGAAAACGAACAATGGCCTTGTGTTGAAGAAAACCGAACACAGTGCTTGGCACAGCAGCGGGCAATGGCGACAATACCCCACTGTTCATTGATCCTAATCATATGGAAATACATACATTGTGTGCGGGACTTGAATTCAGATGTATTATGAAATGTGGGATCCTCTGATGATGGTTTACTCTGTCTTGTTGAAGATGTGTGTCGTGAGGCAGTCGCGGTTTACAGGATGAACACCCTCCAGGTGAAGAATGATAAGAACCTCGTTGTCATGCCAACAAGTATGAGGATGAATAACCGTTAGAGATAATGATGCTTTTGCAAGCGTACACCTACAGCGACAGTAAATTAACAACAAACCTGAGACGACTTTTAAATGACAAACATTAACATTTTTTGAAATGATTATGGAAAGTCCACTTGTAGACTACAGAATATCCTGGTCGTTTTTAATCTAATCCGTGTAAATTCACACACAAGAAATGAAAAGAAAAAAAAAAGACAAATTCTTTCTGCAGACAATGCCACTTTTATTTGAAACACTGCAAATCAAAGTGCCATTTAAAGGAATAGTTCACCCAAAAATGAAAATTACCCCATTATTTACTCACCCTCAAGCCATCCTAGGTGTTTATGACTTTCTTCTTTCAGACTAATACAATCGGAGTTATATATATATATATATATAAAAAAAAAATGTCCTGGTTCCAAGCTTCATAATGGCAGTGAATGGGTGTTGAGATTCAATAGTCCAATAAACTGCATCCATCCATCATAAAAACTACTCCACACGGCTCCGGGGGGTGAATAAAGGCCTCCTGTAGCGAATTGATGCAGTTTTTGTAATAAAAATATCCTTATTAAAACTTTATAAACAGTGATCTATAGCTTCCACTAACTGTCGTACGCGCGTTCATGAGAGAGTCACGTTCCAGCGGATGACGGAGGATGTAGGCGTAGCGTAAGGTCTGGTGAGAATATGCTAAATATATATGCGAAAAACAAGATTTTGTTTACAGGAGCAAAGGAAGCAAAGTTTCCTTTGTTTAATAAAGGAAAATCAGTCTCCTCTTGGCTTATATCGAAATCCTCGGACAATTTTCATTACAAACCCTCGTTTTCTAATTCGTGACCGGTGTTTTGTTTTGCTCTCTCCTCTGCGCTTCAACGTTAAGACACTTCTCACCGGAGCTTATGCTATGTCTACGTCCTCCGTCATCCGCCACAACAGCGTTCTATTGTGAACCCGAGTACGACAGTTAGCGGAAGCTAGAGATCACAGTTTATAAAGTTTTAAATGTGGATATTTTTCTTACAAAAACGCAACGATTCGCTAGAGGAGGACTTTTACCCCCCCCCCCCCCCCCCCCCCCCGACTGACAGTACAGTGAGTAGGATGCCTTGAAGGGGAGTAAATCATGGGGTAATTTTCATTTTTGGGTGAACTATCCCTTTAATACTACTGCACAGACGTCATACAGCGCCAGCAGTACGACACGTTTGAGTTGAATCTATCAGAGGCAGATGATTTCAGAATCAGTGTGCTTCACTGTACTCCGAGCAGTGTGGAATAATTCACAGACGCTGCTGCTGGAGGGTGGAAGTGAAATGCTCCTCTCTAGATTCTAGAGGTCTTACAAGCTGGTTCAATATCAGTGAGAGCCAGTTAATTTTACACACTTTCTGCATGCTCAGTAAACAACGTCCACTATCCAGGGTTTACTTCAGTTTTTTTCATGATCAGGTTCAGATCAACAGAAAAACAGTAGTGTGTGTGCTTCTGAAAAGCAGCATCCTTCTCTTTCTCTCTTTTTTTTTTTTTACTGCACACTGAAAAAAGAAAAAGAAAAAAAATTTTTGTGTCACACTGTACTCTTCATTTGATCAAACGGGAGGGTTCATGGTACAAAAAAGTTCTTCAATGTCAAAAAGGTGAGCAGTACAAAGCAGGACAAATGTAATTGCTAAGAAGACCACTACTTAATTATTTAAAGTCGTGAGAGCACTGCATGTTTTACAAAAATAAAAACTAAAATATAAAAAAACGAGACTTGTTCATTTGCAGTCTCATTGTTAAAAGTAAGCTGCATATTAGTCAATAAATATATATATATATAGTCTACATTTATATGTATTTTATAATGATTTAATAAATTACGACAGTGGTATAGCAAGCTTTGGCAAATAGTAATAAAACGGTTAGCGTTCACTCAAAGGGATAGTTTACTCAAAAATGAAAATTATTTTACTCACCCTCATGCCGTTGCAAATCCACAAGATTTTCTCGTTCATCTTCGAAACACAAACGAGATATTTTTCTCTATTGATCTCTATTGAAAGTGCAGTGTCAAAGTGTTGGTTGTATGGACTTTCCATGGAGAGACAGAAATCTCTCAGGATTCATTAAAAACATCTTCATTTGTGTTTCGAAGAAAGTTTTATGGGTTTTTGAATGACGTGAGGGTGAGTAATTGATGACCATTTTAATTTTAGGGCAACTATCCCTTTAAAATACATTAAGCTATGCAAGTTCATTATTCAAGAGTTCAGCTTGACTAATATCAAATACCATGTCCCTTTGAAAAATATCTTCCAGACCAGCTAATGAAGAAAAAAATGCAGTCATTTGGAGACGAGGAAGGTAATATGTGCACGGAAAAAAATTTCAGTGTATCTAACAGCTTATGTTTGATCACTAGCCATTTGACTAGAGTGAGGCATTACACAGGAAGCAGATTTTCAACAGGAGCATCTGCGCTGAGAGGGCCTCCATTTCCTCAACTTCCCTTAAACTGTGTAGGCAAATCCCACTTTGACTTGTATGGGACTCTATGAAGGTCTGAGGCACTACAGTGAGAGCGTGCTGAGATGGGGTGAAGGACACAGGTATGAGGGAGCTGCCCAGTCTGCGTTTCCTTCACGGCTCAGGCACATGGGGAGCTCCCACCTCTAGAGGAGTGCCAGGGTGGGGAAGGGTCCCCGTGCTTCCCCTCCACACATCAACCGTTTCATGCGTATCAAAGAACTCATCTGGCTCCTCAGGGGTGAGCGGGGTCTGGGCGCTGGAGCCGGTCTCTGAGCTGCTCTCTCTGAGCTCCAGGAGCACAGGCAGAGAGCCGGGAAGACCACATAAGGACTCCGTTGGCAGACTGTCGGCCAAGTGTGAGCAAGGAGCACTGGGCTCCGCAGGGGCCGGACTTGGTGCTTCGTCACAGCAGGGGCTCTCTGTCAGACACTGGCCTGCAGAGTCTGTGCCATCCACTGCTATTTCACTGGGTCTCTCCAGGATGGGAGATGGTATTGACGGGTGGGGGTCCTCAGAAGGGAGACTGGTTTCAGTGCTGCTGAGTGCAGATGTGGAGGACACGCAGAGGATGTTGTTGTGAGGGGCTGGGTGGATCTCCTCGCTGCTCTGCGGTGTGAGGGTGATCTTCTCACTGAAGCTGAAGCGTGGGGAGGTGTCAGCAGTAGTGGGAGACGAAGGGCCGGCGCTTGACACCGTACTGGAGGGACCACTGCTGTCTGCATGGAGAAATACACACAAACACACACATTATTTGGCTCGTTTTGCAATAGAGGTGCCATTTGTGTCTCTCATATATACTGTATGTGTGTGCAAAAAATGACTTTAACAATGAATTGTGACAACTTTTACTATGTGTTACTCTAGATGTTTTTCTAAACGCATCAACACAAAAATATTTTTTTTTCTGTTTTCTATCATAATGAGAATGCCTTTTTTCATGTTTCAGCCCTGTTTTAACCAATGTTTGCTGTATTAGCAAATATGCACATTTTGATTAAAAAAAAATTTAAATTAAGATCTATTTATATTTTTTTAGATTACTAAAATACACTTTAATGTAATGTAATTTTTAATGAAATGTACTTTAATATATTTGTAATTACAAATTAGTAATGATGAAGCTTTAAGTTGGTACTTTTAAAATATATTAACTTCAAATGTAATATCAAATAACACACTAGTTAAAATTATAATCAAGCACGCTACACGTTTATGTTTGTCAACAAATCAAAATAAGTGTACTTCTTTTAAGCCTGACAAAAGATTATTAAAACAATCATTTAAGATATACTTGGATCTGACAGTATTACAAAGTGCACTTTTTAAACAGTCTTGAAATTGTACTTTCATTAGGGTAGACTTAAGTAGCCTTATGTTATTATCTGCAAGTTTTTTTTTTAAACATACTGTTAAGATTTGAAGAACACTACAAGTGCACATTCAATACACTGAAGCGCAACTCTTTTTCACAAGGGCTTCAATACAAGCTATAGCCTCATATTTTTCACCATTTTATCACTGTGTTCAATAGCCTTGCATAGTAAACAACTGATAACTGAAAAGTTTGTATAAATATCAACATTTAATTCTCATTCGAAGCACGATCTTGAGCACAAGTACGGTCAACCCCTTTACTGTTAACTTTGTTACTTCGCTGAAGGCAGTAATCATATTCCAACATACACAAAAATGTATGAATTTAGCTTGCAATTGCACAATGATATATGTTGCCACTTAAACATAATTTGTACATCAGGTCCATCCAACATATATGTAACATGTTAGCATAATGGCTAAGTTTTAATGAGTTTTCTCCACGTGAAGTAGCTAAGGGCAGCAGTACTCACACCACGGTGGCCGATCAGAACGCTGGCGCAGTGAAACAGAGGAGGACAGCACTCTGTGAGGGATGTAAGAGTCCCCTGCGGGCTGGTTCTGGGAGTCAAACATGGCTGAGAGAGCTACAGGAGGGGAGACAAACACACATACAGTTAGGACACAGGTGCATTATATTTCAGTATCAAAAGAACTGCGACTAACCTAAAACTGTCCTAAATGTATGCCATGTTAGAGTGGTGCTATGGGCATCACCTCTGGTTGTCCTGGTGTGGGAATCTCCTGCATTCTCACACATAGTCGTCAGGAACTCGTCGACTTGTTTGAGTGAGAGTGAGTTGTGGAGGGTCTCGAGGGGGTAGATGGAAGGCACCATGGAGCAGCCTTCAAAACCTGCAGATGAGAGAAGTGATGAGAGAAGACAGTCCTCTATCCAGACGTCAGTATGCACCCAGAGTGACACAACAGTCTATTACTACTGAACCAATGTCAACAGTCATTCCACCTACTGCCAAACCCTTAGTGACAGAACCACAGTCACGGGCGGAAAACATTCAGACACACCGTACACGCATTAAAAAAAAAAACACCACATCCTCTTATCATTCATTCAAGACTTATCGTGTATTACATAGGAAATCTAAATCTACATTTAAAAATGAAGACAATTACACAGTTTGGTCATAATGTCACACTCACACAACTTCAAGTAAAACAAAAAAAGTCCCTTTAATTAGTTGTTAGAGTCTCTATGCACTTCTTTTAGTTGAAAAACCACACTCTTAATGTAGATAAAAGCAACGCATGTAAATTAGGAGGGAGCTGGCAGAGACAATAATAATAAAAACAGGAATGAATGTGAGAACTGCACCTGTGGATCATCACGTAATCAGTGCATGAATTTTATAAGAGATATGATTTCATGACAATACATCACTTATGACTATTACTTATGAAAGTGACCCAGGATTCTGGAGAATTTAGTAAAAAATTCAAATAATAACAATGTGCATGTATGATTATGTATGAAGTAATAGAGGTTTGATTAATCATTGTGGAAAAAAGTGAAAAGTGAAAACTCACATTTGGAAGAGAGAATTACAGTATTTTATTTTTCAAATCCCTGGAAGCCTGTGGCATGCAAATCATGTGCCACTATCATGCAAGTCAGTCATTTCTGATACGTCAGAGAGCCGATGCGACTGTAAGCTGACACAGTTGCAATAAGATGCCACTGGCATGCATCTGCCACACCACACACCCCAACACACAGCAGTGGGAGATCACCCTAATGCTACTCCAACCTCTTCTGTACAGACATGTTTAAATCTGTTCTGTCCGCTTTATAAATACTGGTCTGAATAGTTTGTATGAGTACCAAACTATCAAACAAGAGTACTTCTTTAATTTATGAATTTATGTTAATTTAAATTAAATCTGACTGGCACCTTTAACAAAAGTAATTTACACTCTTTTGTATGGTCGAATTAATTTCTCTCGAAAAGTCTGAAATATCACCTAAGAGGGTGATATTTTTTGGTATATTATTTTGTTCTCTTTTATTACTAGAGGAATTGAATGTACTACATTACCATTCAAAAGTTTTGAATGTTTTTCAAAAGTCTATTGTGCTTACCAATGCTACATTTTTTTTAATCAAAAGTACTGTAAAAGCCGCAATATTATGAAATATTATTACAATTTGAAATAACTGTTTTCTATTTTAATGTATTTTTTTAGGTGTAAATTTTCAGAATTACATGATCGTTCAGAAATCATTCTGATATGCTGATTTGGTGCACAAGAATCATTTCTTATTATTATCAATGTTGAAAATAGTTGTGCTGCTTAATAATTTTCTGGTAATGTTAGTGATCGTAACAAATATGGATTTCATCTATCTATTTCATTTGAATATTCAATTATTTAATAAAAAAAAATTCAATGATTCCTTATTTTATTTCAATCATTTAAAAATATTACAAAACAAATTATTCTATTTGTACAGTTTTGTTGTAAAAGTTGTTAATTAATGCAATTTATAAAGGACAATCTATTAAAGAGCTGAGGTGATAAAAAAAACCCTGAAAAAAAAGAAAAAAAATATCAGCAGCCTCAGTGCATACTTGAGTTTTATTAGGTTAACAGTATTTGTCATTAGATCATAACCAATGCTTCCAACACGAATATACATATTTGTTTTTTATATCATGCTGTGTATTTTCCATTTATATTAAGTCAGTTAATTATATTTGTTACACCCTATACTACACCTACTCCTTGCATGCACTCATCTCAGAGACATGAAGGTAAACGAGTATTTCTTAATAACTACAGAGACATGGCTGTAGGCTCCTACGTGAAAGGTTTTGAGAGCTGGATGGCTTGGAATGTGTGGTGGGTAGAGTGTGTGGGATGTGGCAGGGAATGGGGATTGTGTAGGTGGATCAGGGACCATCTTTAAGCTCTGCCTGAGATGTACTGAACACATACAGAACTGTGTGCAAATACACCTACATAACACACTGCAGTAATTCATATCATTTCACAAGCAGTTTTTTGCATTGTTCTTGACCTTTGTTATCACCTCCATTCAGGTCTGTTTACACTAGACAACACCTCCAGACATCCAACATACGCAAGACGTTTCTTTTACCGAGAGAGAAAACACTGATCATCTTAACCAACATAACATCAACATGCAGTTTATACACAGCACATGTGTCTATCAATGAAGTGTAGAGAAGCACAAAAGACACCGTCTAGTTAATCCGTATCTGCAAGTGTGGTAGGACATTTTAATCACATAAACTGAAAATGTCGATTTCAATTTGAAAGAAATGTTTAGTCTTTGTCGTTTGTGGCATTTCAGATTTTAAGCTGCTTCCCATGAAGAACCAGAGAAAAACACTCCTTGGTTTCATAGCTTAACATTTACAACATTTAACATAATTGGGTCAAAGACGAAAAGCATCAAAGAAATGTAAGTTTAATACAGCTTTAAATGTTATATTTCCCCATACATTAGAATGTATCCTGTTTAATTTTATGTTTTTCTAAGCAAAAAAAAAAAAAAAAAGACTATCATACATTTTTTACCATAATTTACAGAAGACACCCACTAAAGTGTCATTCAGTGTAACAATATTTACATACCAATACATCTTGTTAGGCATATTTTAAACAAGAATCATTTGATAAATTAAAAGACTATATTTAAGGATCACAGTGCAGACCTCAAATACCAATTAGCTTTCATTTTTAAATCTTTATACTTTGCTAATGTCCTTAGGTTTTACTCATTTGTCAGCAAGACGTTTCTGTAAGGAAGTGAAAGTCATTTAAAATATAATAACATTTAATATGATCATGTATTCTTTTATGTATTTTAATAAGTACAGGTCAGAATAAGTCAATTGTTTAATTTTTACATAAATATATCTGTTACGCTGAATGACCATGGTTTGTTACTGTGAGTGACGTTTTTCCATATACGAAAGTAATATTATCATTGTGCCCATAATTGCAATGTTTTAGTATTAGTCTGTATCATTAAATTAGTTTTAATAATATTCCTGAGTAAATGACTGCAGAAGCAGATGTTGAAAAGTAATAAGCATGCTTGCCATGCTTGCTTAGCTTGTCACTTTGTTTCTGACTTGCTCGGTCTCAAAAATTGTTGCTTGCAGATACATTTATGAATATGTTCTTTTTGCCAACATACCGTAAAAGACATTATCAGGAACAGTATTTTGGGTGGAGAATCCCCTCAATGGCCTCTACTGAACTTGTGACATACTGTAGTGAGGGGGGACTCTCTGTTCAGAAATATTGGTAAGCTATTATTCTCTATCATTATAGTTATCTTTACAGTTATTGTTCTTGGTGTGAGCGGGCTTTAAGAGTGCCACCAAAGCTACTAGGTCTGCATTTACTTTATTAGCTTTTTACAGTGCCTAGCAGCTCTCTCTGTTTGTGGGCATCTAAAATTTATCAATAACACAAACTAAACAATACAAAAACGCATTAAAATAATAATATTTATTAAGTTTAACATATATTTGTCAGTGCTAAATATTCCTAATTTATATGTTAAGTAAGATGCTAAAATTGTTATTTACACAGTGATACTGTCATTCAGTGTAATGGACGTGTAAATGACAAAAACATTACCCTGAATGACAAAACTTCTACTTCAGCTTATATTGCAGGCAATCAACTGGCCACCTGTATCAAACACTGAGCTTGGCCAGTAAAGTCAATCACAATTATTCACAACATCTACTTATTTTTCAAAAAATCTAACAATAAAAGTGTTTTTCAAACTAAACAATACAAAAACGCATTAAAATAATAATATTTATTCAGTTTAACATATATTTGTCAGTGCTAAATATTCCTAATTTATATGTTAAGTAAGATGCTAAAATTGTTATTTACACAGTGATACTGTCATTCAGTGTAATGGACGTGTAAATGACAAAAACATTACCCTGAATGACAAAACTTCTACTTCAGCTTATATTGCAGGCAATCAACTGGCCACCTGTATCAAACACTGAGCTTGGCCAGTAAAGTCAATCACAATTATTCACAACATCTACTTATTTTTCAAAAAATCTAACAATAAAAGTGTTTTTTTGGCATTTCACTGAATGACGTGTTTTTGTAAAGGTGAAATTATCAAATATTTAAGAGCAATAAACTTTTCTTGCAGCACCAGGTGGTCTTCCAGGTGCCATTTGATGATGTCACAGACTGTCGAATGACTATCACTGGCTGTGTCCGAAATCGCCCCCTATACCCTTAAATAGGGCACTATTGAGGGAACAGCCATTTTTAGCGGTGTCCGAAACCATAGTGGACGTTCTCGAGTGCACTCATTCAATCCCACAATGCACTGCAAAAACGAGTGTACAACTGGTGCACGCTCAATGGCTAGAGAATGCCCATAATGCACCGTGAGAGTCACGTGCCGAATGAATTCCCGCGTCTCGCCAGAAGATGGCACCCGCAGCTGAATAATTAATCCGTTCATTTTTACAAAGCGCTCATCCATGGCGTACAGCATAATGTACAACACCGGTATAAATTAATTGTAAATTGATTATTAAATTGTTTGATTAGGGTTTATACATAATTTCCGTGACAGAATTCAAGATAAATCCTTTAATCTTACTACTGGAGCTGCTAGTTTGCTAGTTTCAAATGATTAATAAACAGCAAGCACAAACTATGCAAAAGCGGCATCTCTTCAGGTGCACTCAGTGTCCGAATTCACTATTCGTTTTCATTCACTCCTTCTAGTGAACTGAATTAGTGACCTAATGTAGGGAATAGTGAATGAGGGTATAGGGGGCGATTTCGGACACAGCCCCAATGTTCATACTATCCATCCTAAATAGTATGTGAGATTAGAATAAGTGTGTCCCAAAGCATACATGGTATGTTGAAAAGAGTATGCCAAAAGTCCCCGGATGGTCTACTATTTCAGGTCGATTTTTTAAGTGTGGATCCGTGCACACTCTAATGGCTAAAATTGGCAAAGCTTTGGCAAAAGATTCGGTCCAGAGCTACAAACACGAATAAAACGCATTAGAAAAACTACAAAAGTGGCGGATGCACGCGATCGACGGTTAGGTAGAGAGGTTTACAAAAAGGGGTTTGAGTTACTAATAATCAACATTTAACCTGGTAAAAAAAAACATTTATTTATTGTTATCCATGTTATATTTCATCTGCAACAGCAATGTGAACTTCTATAAACATCCATTTGGTCATGAACTTTTAAATGCATCATTATGCAGAAAATATGAGCAGAGTTCTCCGCATTAAAGACCCGCGACTGGCAGATCAACAAGCTACTTCTTTTCTCTCCAGTACGGTAGGAAGTGAAATGAAATGAAATGTGAAGGATGTTAACTGTGACAAGATGATTGACAGGCCAGTTTACAGTGACAGGGTGCTTGCAACAGGTGCGACAGAGCGGTCCTTTAAAGACGCAATTGTGTGACGTGATAGTATGTCCCAAAGCTTGCCTACTCTTCTACTACACACTCAAAAATGTGTACTTTTTCTTCACCAAAAGAGTACATACTTTAAGGGCGTAGTATACATAGGCGCATTTTTATATGATTTCAGAATGGCTTCTTGTTCCTGTTACACTGAATGACCTCTGACAAACTGCATTTTGGGGACAAAAGTCCCCTGGTTATTTAAATAATAAAAAAAAAACAGTAAGACATATTCCTTTTAATATAACACAGCCAACACTTTTTTAACTCTATAGTTGTGCAGTAAAATTAAAGATTCTCGAAGATGAACAAATTGCCCAAAATTTGTCTCCTTGTGGAAAACAAAGACTTTTAAGATGAGAATGACATGAAATTACCAGTATAACCAGTAGATGGCAGCGGAACATCAATCATCAGCTCATTTGAAAATGCCAAGAAAACAAATATATATTTTTAACTTGGTATTTTATATGTTTTAAAAATCAAAGTTCGGACCATTACGCTTTGGAACATTTTTTTGACATTTTATTTTCACAAACGTTATTTGAAATATGAAAGTAGACACTTCACTTGCATTTAACAAGTTTTTTATGTATTTAAAAGGACTTTTGTCAATTTCATTTGATGCGGACACCAAAATGGTGACGTCTCGTCTTTGACCCAATTACAATTCACAACAACATTAATCTTAAATAAACTTGGAGAGAAGATTAATGGAGTAAAAGAGTGACAGGTGAATCATTTCCCTGTGAACAATCACTTTCTGCTATATTTAAATACTTTCAAAACAGTGAAAAACACTGTCCAACAATACCAGAGCAATGACAACTGTGGACAGGGGAAGGGTTCAGTTATTGGTGTGCTGTCCAGTAATGGTACAGATTCATTATCTTCAATATCTATTTATAATTGTACATTGCGAGAAAAAAAAAATCATTATCTTAATCAGTAGTATTTTTTTGTATTTATTTTGCAGTAGGAATATCAAAGCATCCTTATTACAAACTAAATTTAATTACTGTAGAATAGTACATAAAACATCATACAACTCGTTTGCAGAGAATATATCTTAAATTAACTTATTTTTCTCAGCACACTGTCAAATTGTTTTTAACAAATTAATTGAAGATATTCTCTCTGACATATACTACTGTTCAAAAGTTTGGGGTTAGAGAGATTTTTTTAATGTTTTTGAAAACAAAAGCTATTATGGTCACGAGGTCTGCATTTATTTGATCAAAAATACAAAAATATAGTGAAATATTATTACATTTGTAAAAATAAATAAATCTTTTCTATTTTAATATATTTAAAATGTAATTTATTCTCGTGATGGAAAAGCTGAATTTTCAGCAGCCATTACTTCATTCTTCAGTGTCACATGATCCTTCAGATATCATTCTAATATACAGATTTGGTGCTCAAGAAACATTTCTTATTATCAACATTGAGATTGTGCTGCTTAATATGAATATTTGTGGAAACTGTGATACTATTTTAAAAGAAAGTTCTACAGAACAGCATTTATTTGAAATAGAGATGTTTTGTAACATTATAAACGTCTTTACCGTCTCATTTTTATACAGCAACGATTCATTAAATAGATCAAAAATATAAATTTCTTTCAAGAAAATAAAAATCAACTGATCCCAAACTTTTGAACTATAGTGTATCTTATATAAGTTTGCTCCCCAAATGTAAAACAAGACAAAAAAATACTGATTAAGAACATGATTTTTTTTTTTGCAGTGTAATACACCCACCTTCCCACAGACTTGTGCACACACAATCAATCACAGAAAACAAACACGTGTTTAAACTCATTCACACGAACAGTCATCCGTAACTGATTAACATCGAGTCACTGGGTGAGAGTGAGAGCTGTCCGCAGGAGGTTACAGATAGCGATAGTGGTGTATGTGGGAAGGGTTTGAGAATTGTTGAATGGTTAAAAAGATGATGAAACTGGAGAGGTCGAAGGAAACATGGCAGAAATCACGTGAAAACAGAAGAAAACTAAACCGACCAAAAATTCCAATTTCCATTGACATGCAAAACAAAGGGAGGTGGAGGAAGTGGAAATATACTTGAAGAGAAGCAGACGTACCATTAGTCGGATGCTTTGCAAACGACACAGAAAATCGCTTTACTGCCGGCATAGACAACAACTCTGAGGAAATAAAAAAGGTCACTAGAGTTACCATATTTTACAGTACACCTGTAGAGGATGGGGATGGTGTTACAGAGCTGAAGGTGTGAGACTGTCAAGGATAGTAGGGTGAGGAGTGTAGGGCTGGGTTTCTACTGTGACTACAGACTCAGAAACACTGGGTCAGAAAGCAGAAGAGCAGTGTTTAGTGTCTCAATGTGATTTAAACTTTCAGCTAAAGAGTGACAATGTTCCTTATTACGAGGAAGTAAGATTTCAACCTCACAAATGGGTTTATTGAGGCTATTCCTAGCTCAGGTAGAGAAAATAAAAAAATGACAGTAAGAGGATCTTTATCTTAACTGCTTAAATGTCTTCACATAGTTGCCACTGTAAACGAGTGAATCTATTTATAACACTTTGGCTACAGTAATATTTCCGGCTTGTCACTTTATGGGCACTTCTCTACTATAAATACAGATGCCATCTTACCAGACGTCATCTCTCAGAACAAACAAAATGTTGGACAGAATCATGAAAAGCTGGAGACGGTCAGATCGACCCCTCGCTTTGTAAGCAACTTTGGGAGTCTGTAGGGTAACAGCACATGCCTTCACAGGACACAACCACACACAACAGTGAAGACAAAGAGACTGGGGATTGGGTTCTATGACCGGCCAGTCCTAGAGACCAGCCAGAGATTTTAACTGAAGCTAATATGGTTAAATGAACGGGCTCATGTATACGATAGCAACAAATGGAAGAGTAAAGTTAGAACTGCAAAACAGCAGTAAACAAAACAAGACACAGGAAATGGGAACTGAAACAGGGAGAACTCCAAACACTGTCACACTGACACCTTGTGGACAATAGGATTCACCATGAGCATACAAACTGAACATTCTGGAAGGAATCGGGGGATGTGAGAGCACTCCAGTATGGACCGGAAAGACAATTTGTCAATGCAGTTTCAGATAAAATACCAAATTAGAGTGAAATCCAAAGCTAATGGCCACTTATCGAATTTAGTAATAATTTCAAACCCCAAATATTGTGTAACCCTTTATAATAAGGTTCAGTCTATTAACATCAACTGTCAAGACTAACAATCACCAGTCATTTTTACAGTATGTATTAGTTTAGGTTAATGTTATTGTTCATTGTTAATTCAATTTTTTTACATTTTTGAAAAACTTGAAACGTTGCAAATTTATTGTAAATGCCTACATATGATATTAACCAAGATTAACAAGATTCTGTAAAATGTGTAACTAGTGTTAACATATAGAATCTTATTGTAAAGTGTTACCAAATAAAGTGATGTGATACACTACTGTTCAAAAGTCTGGGATCAGTAAGATTTTTTTTTTAAAGAAATTAATACTTTTATTCAGCAAGGATGAACTGAATTTGATCAAAAGTGACAGAAAATAATATTACAAAAAATGTATATTTCATATACATGATGTTGTTTTGAACTTTCTATTATTTAAATCCTGAAAAAATGTAGCAAGGTTTCCACAAAAATATTAAGCAGCACAACTGTTTTCAACATTGATAATAGTAAGAAATGTTTCTTAAGCACCAAATCAGCATATCGGATTGATTTCTGAAGGGTCATGTGACAATGAAGACTGCTAAAATTCAGCTTTGCCATAATAGGAATACATAACCTTTTAATATACATTCTAAATAATATCAAATATAATGTATAGAAAACAGATTTTAAAATGTAACATTTCACAATATTACTGTTTTTACTGTATTTCTGCACATATAAGATTTCTTTCCAAACATGTAAAAAAAATTACATACCTCAGACTTTTGAACGGTAGTGTACAGTGAGTATAGAAAATAATTTCCCCCTTTAAAATAATCACATTATGTTGCTTTTCAGCCTGACATGAAGACGGACACACCAACATGTCAGAAAAAAAACAAAAAACAGAATCATCACCAACTTAGTTGGCAAAAGGATCACCCCCTCCTAAAAATGACTTGTAAAATCAGGTGTAGCTAATCACCTTTTCAATGGCACACAAAGCCATTTGACTTTCAACTGTGATCATTTTAAGTAGCTCAGCACGCAAAGAGCTTTCCTGGAGCATTTCAGTCCTTGGTAGTGCAACTGAAGCAAACAATCAACTATGGGTGGCAAGGCACTGTCAAAAGATCTCCGGGATAAAGTTGTGGACAGGCACAAGTCAGGAGATGGATACAAATACATTTGAAAGGCTTTATCAATGCCTAGAAGCACACTGAAGTCTATTATTAAGAAGTGGAAGGTATTTGGTACAACACAGACCCTCCCTGGATCAGGACGTCCCTCCAAACTGGATAAAAGAGCCGGAGGCAACTGCTCAGAGAGGCGACCAAGAGGCCTACATCAACTCTGAAGCAGCTGCAGGAATTTATGACAAAGAGTGGTCATTGTGTGCATGTGAACAATATCACAAATTCTCCACAACTGTGGTTTGTATGGGAGGGTTGCAAGAAAAAAGACACTCCTCAAGAAAAGCTACATGCAGTCAGACTGAGCTTTGCCAAAACACACCTTGAAGATTCTGAGGCAGATGAGACTAAAAATTGAAATATTTGGCCTCAACACCAAACGATGTGTCTGGCGGAAATCCAATACAGCTCACCATCAAAATAACAGCATTCCTGCAGTAAAGTATGGAGCTGGTAATATTCTGTTATGAGGGTGTTTCTCTGCAGCAGGGACTTGAGCACTTGTCAGTAGAGCCCGACCGATATATCGTTTTGCCGATATTATCGGCCGATACAAGCCTGTTGCCGATATATCGGTATCAGTGAATATGCTGCCGATATGAATTTTTTTTACAGAACATATAACGCAGATAAAATGCTTGAAAGGGTGTAATTACTCAGTTTGTCCAGCAGAGCGCGCTCCATTGTTTGCTACTGGCGACCTGGATGAAACGCTTTTGAAGCTTAAGTCTATGGAAAACCATTGAAACTTTGAACGGCCATATCTCCGTAACGGCGCGGCGAACCCGCACCAAATTTGGGGGATCCCTTCAGCTCGAGGAACCCTCTTGAACGCGAATCGAGTGTGGAACCCTCTCGAACACGAATCGAGTGTACGTCTAAAGGCCCGCTTTTGAATGAGACCACCCCCGCATCGATAGCCCCCGGGGTGGAGATCCGCCGGCGCATTCCCGAGATAGTGACACCAGTCAACACTTTCACTTCAGTAAGGAGGTCTCTTGTTCAGGCAGCAGCATTCAAGCGTTGTCTTACTCGACCGTAAGTGCCCTGCTAAGTGGACTTCACATGAAATTCCGCCATGATTCCAGTTCCAAGGGAACATACACGTTACATTCAAAGGGCATTAAAGTGCGTGAGACGTGAATTTATATTGTATTTATTTACAGAGGTATATTATGTCACACTTCACACTTCTCTAGTAAGTTTCGTCTGTGTGTGAAGACCGTAGCGCAAATCCGTGAATGAATGTTTCGAAGTGAAATAAACTTTAACGGAATAAAGTTGAATGGAATTGAATTGTATTAAAGTTGAATAAACTTCAACTTCACTGTTCAGTGCACTGATGTCAGACTCATTTTGGATAATAAAGTTTATTGTTAAATTGTTAAATGCCCTGCCTCCTCTCTGTCATGTCATTATAAGTGTTTGATCACCACATTTGAGTGATCATTGCAAAAAATGTGTTTATGTATATATATTCTGTTTATGTATATACAGTATTCTATATATAGTACCAGTCAAATGTGTGGACACACGAATGGGAAAGTGTCCAAACTTTTGACTGGTACTGTACTATAATATACACAAAGAATATCGGCCGATATATCGATATCGGCCTTTTTTTACTCCCTAATATCGGTATCTCGGTATCGGTAAAAAAACCCATATCGGTCGGGCTCTACTTGTCAGTACAGGAGGAAAAATGGATGGGGCAAAATACAGTAATACAGTCAAGGAAAATCTGCTGCCCTCTGCCAGAAAGTTGTCAATGAGAAGTTAAAGGCAATGACCCAAATCACACAGAAATCTGAGCACACAGTGGTTGAAGGAGAAAAAGGTGAATGTCCTTGCATGTTCTAGTCAGAGCTCACTTAAGCCCCACTGAAAATCTGTGGAATGACTTTGCAGTCCACAAACGCTCACCATCAAATTAAACTGAACTTGAGCAGTTCTGCAAAGAAGAGTGAGCAAATATTGCAAAGTCTAGACGTGCAAAATTAATAGAGACAAATCCCAACAGACTAAAGGTTGTAATTAAAGCAAAAGATGGTTCAACAAAATACTGACGCAAGGGGGTGATCCTTTTTCATACTCAGTGATTCAGGTTTTTTATTTATTTATTTATTTATTTTTCTGACATGTTGGTGTTATATCTTTCATTCGAATGTTATAAGTTAAAGTTAAAGAGTAAATCCAGCTGGATAAAAACAAAAACGGTGTCCATCTTCACTTCTATGGAATGCCAATCCTGCCATCATTAGAAATAAAGAAAAAAAATAAATGTACAAAAAAATTTTAAAAAGCAAATATAAATAAATAAATATACAAAGTAAAAAAGCAAAAATAAATAATTATTTATAATTTTATTTCCTTATTTGTTTTTTTTCCACATTTATTTATTTTCACATTTATGTATTAATTTATGTATTTATTTATTTCCACATTTATTTTATTTTTACATTTATTTATTTATACATTTCTTTGTCCGTAGGGTAATGAAGAGGGCAAGTTTTACCTCAGGACTAGCAATCGAGCCAGAGTAGGCGAGGGGTAAGCTTTGAGGCCACAGTGACACCTTGTGGTCCCCAAACGATGTACAAGAAGTGTAGCCTACATGATGCGCCTGTTGATAGTGTGGGATGAATGATTTAGATGGGCAATATGGCCAAAATCTTATTTAAATTTCAAGTGGGGGGTTGTTTAGGCTGGGAAGCGTGCAATCTGTGATCACGTGCATTTGCTGAAGCTCCTGAAAGTGTGCTTTCTTATGCGCGCTGTTTTTTAGGTTTCACTTTCAACGCATGTTTCAAAGATTCGGGATGGAAAGAGGCATCTGAAATAAACTTTAACGGAATAAAGTTGAATGGAATTGAATTGTATTAAAGTTGAATAAACTTCAACTTCACTGTTCAGTGCACTGATGTCAGACTCATTTTGGATAATAAAGTTTATTGTTAAATTGTTAAATGCCCTGCCTCCTCTCTGTCATGTCATTATAAGTGTTTGATCACCACATTTGAGTGATCATTGCAAAAAATGTGTTTATGTATATATATTCTGTTTATGTATATACAGTATTCTATATATAGTACCAGTCAAATGTGTGGACACACGAATGGGAAAGTGTCCAAACTTTTGACTGGTACTGTACTATAATATACACAAAGAATATCGGCCGATATATCGATATCGGCCTTTTTTTACTCCCTAATATCGGTATCGGTATCGGCCTAAAAAAACCCATATCGGTCGGGCTCTACTTGTCAGTACAGGAGGAAAAATGGATGGGGCAAAATACAGTCAAATTCTTGAGGAAAATCTGCTGCCCTCTGCCAGAAAGTTGTCAATGAGAAGTTAAAGGCAATGACCCAAATCACACAGAAATCTGAGCACACAGTGGTTGAAGGAGAAAAAGGTGAATGTCCTTGCATGTTCTAGTCAGAGCTCACTTAAGCCCCACTGAAAATCTGTGGAATGACTTTGCAGTCCACAAACGCTCACCATCAAATTAAACTGAACTTGAGCAGTTCTGCAAAGAAGAGTGAGCAAATATTGCAAAGTCTAGACGTGCAAAATTAATAGAGACAAATCCCAACAGACTAAAGGTTGTAATTAAAGCAAAAGATGGTTCAACAAAATACTGACGCAAGGGGGTGATCCTTTTTCATACTCAGTGATTCAGGTTTTTTATTTATTTATTTATTTATTTTTCTGACATGTTGGTGTTATATCTTTCATTCGAATGTTATAAGTTAAAGTTAAAGAGTAAATCCAGCTGGATAAAAACAAAAACGGTGTCCATCTTCACTTCTATGGAATGCCAATCCTGCCATCATTAGAAATAAAGAAAAAAAATAAATGTACAAAAAAATTTTAAAAAGCAAATATAAATAAATAAATATACAAAGTAAAAAAGCAAAAATAAATAATTATTTATAATTTTATTTCCTTATTTGTTTTTTTTCCACATTTATTTATTTTCACATTTATGTATTAATTTATGTATTTATTTATTTCCACATTTATTTTATTTTTACATTTATTTATTTATACATTTCTTTGTCCGTAGGGTAATGAAGAGGGCAAGTTTTACCTCAGGACTAGCAATCGAGCCAGAGTAGGCGAGGGGTAAGCTTTGAGGCCACAGTGACACCTTGTGGTCCCCAAACGATGTACAAGAAGTGTAGCCTACATGATGCGCCTGTTGATAGTGTGGGATGAATGATTTAGATGGGCAATATGGCCAAAATCTTATTTAAATTTCAAGTGGGGGGTTGTTTAGGCTGGGAAGCGTGCAATCTGTGATCACGTGCATTTGCTGAAGCTCCTGAAAGTGTGCTTTCTTATGCGCGCTGTTTTTTAGGTTTCACTTTCAACGCATGTTTCAAAGATTCGGGATGGAAAGAGGCATCAGTTACTGTAGAAGATTTATCGTCTCGCGCCACTTCCCGTAATGGGTTCTCTTGCTGTAGACACGGCTTTAGATACGGATCAATTGGCTGATTAATCACACGTCTTAGGCTGGAAATATCCAGAATTAGATCAAACAAAAGGTGTCCATGGGAACGGAGCTAGTGAAACACACACGCCAAACATTATAGCCTAAAACATGTTTAATATTTGAGACTGACAACAACGATTGTATGCGGCTGTGCAGTGGAGATGCATTCACTGTCAAATATCATTTAGCATTCATTTTGAAATTTTGTCAAATATTTTTTCTTGATTACAATTTTTGAAACATGCGTTGTATGCGTTGAAAGTGAAACCTAAAAAACAACTACAACGATTGCAGGCTTTCACGAGCTTCAGCAAATGCACTCGATCACAGATTGCACGCTTCCCAGCCGAAACAAACCCCCACGTGAAATTGAAATAATAACCTGTGATATAAGATTTTGGCCATATTGCCCATCTAAATCATTCATCCCACACTATCAACGGGCACCTCATGTAGGCTACACTTCTCGTACATCGTTTGGGCACCACAAGGTGTCACTGTGGCCTCAAAGCTTACCCCTCGCCTACTCTGGCTCGATTGCTAGTCCTGATGTAAGACACGCCCTCTTCATTACCCTACGGACAAAGAAATGTAGAAATAAATAAATGCGAAAATAAATAAATGCATAAATAAGGAAATGTGGAAATAAAGAAATAAATACGTAAATAAATACATATATGTGAAAATAAATAAAAGTGGAAATAAATAAATGTATAAATAAATAAAAGAAAAAATAAATAAATGTGGAAAAAAAATACATAAGGAAATAAAATTATAAATAATTATTTATTTTTGCTTTTTTACTTTTCTTCGTATATTTATTTATATATTTATTTATTTATATTTGCTGTTTTACATTTCTTTGTACATTTCTTTATTTCTTTATTTCTAATTAAGTCAGCAAAACAGTTCCATACACTTCAGGCTGCAAGGCAACAAAATGTAATTATTTTAAAGGGGAGTGATTCTTTTCTATACCCACTGTATCGGAGTCTGAATTGTAAAAAGTGATCATGTAGCAAATAGCCCCTTTATATAGTGGAAGGCAAGGTCAGAGTTTATATTCAGTTTGCTGTTCACAAAATCAAAATTTTTACCATGTTTTTGCTTCAAACTTTTTTGGATTCCTGCAATGGTACATAAACATATGTGTTTCCAATTAAATGATGTCAAAAATAAAACACTGCTCACAAAATATGACAAATGACAAGTCAACAAAGACAATTTATGAAAGACGATGAATGGCACTGTAGACTCCATGAGTTTTTGGACACCACACATTCAAGATCGTGAAAATGAACCAGACGTGAAATGTTGAGTATGACAGCAAGATGTGTGATACACACTCAAGACCTGATGCAATGAATGTTCTTAATCCTAAAATGTACATTACTCACATTTACTGGAAGTGCCCTTTAACTAGTTTCTAGCTTCTAAACTCTTTTATTATCTCTATGAGAGAAGGAGCTGGACTGAGCACATACCGTCTTTATAGGTCAAACTGCCCGAGGAGAATTTTTTGCGGTGTGTGCGTGCGTAGTCCTGAAGGTTGGGGGCACTAGAGGAGCCCCCCAGGACGGTGGTGCTGAAGAGGCCAGCGCACTGAGAGCCTGCAGAGGGGGTTAGATCATGGAATTAGTGTGCACACCAACCACATGCACTTATTAATCAAAACACAACAGTTACTGCAGAGAGAGTGAGAGGATTATAAAGCCATAATATATGACTCGTGCCAAAACCATTGCGGTTTGGCGAACATCAATGACAGAGGCTTAGTAGAGCAAAATCTAATTAACAAAAGACAGAAGCAATGTTCTTGCCAGGGAAATATTCTTGAAAGTATATACCTTATATCTATTAGGAACAATTATGAAAAAATAAAATATAAATAAATAAATACAAAAAAAAAACAACTTCAGTGAAATGGCAGATGAGTATGCTCAGTATATAGTCATATGAACGAGTATATGAATATATGAACGTCAGCATTCACATGTCATTGATAGTAAATATATGATTAGACAAATTAATCATTTCAAATCTACAGATAGTTAGGTATGAAATATGTCTGACTGCATGCAGGATTATTTGCTCATTTACACCCTTGTCAAATGTGTTTTTTTCCATGCAAAACTTTTAAGTTTTAAAACTGCAGGAAATATTCATGGCACTTTCTTTCATAGATAACAGCTTTGCGTAAAGATAACCAACTAAACTGACATCAGAGATCAGAGCACTAGTTTTAAATAGAGCAGAAGAATGAATTCTTGGAGAATGATTCCTAAAAATTAACAACATCCCACTCCCACACACCAAACTCCATCTCTGGATCCAAAATTTGTATCCACCAATTTCCTTGGTAACATCCATGAAAGCAGTCAGCTAATGGAGTTTACACCCGAAATAGCATGCAGTATAGTGTTGCGTTGGATTCAGAGGGTGATTTCCTGTCAGGGAGAAGAGATAAACAGCAGTTGTTGAGGCTGAGTGAGGGACAGACACACGATACCAACCTAATCCGCTCTGCTTCATCTCTGGAGACTGACGTGAGCAGGAGGGGAAGAGGCGATAGCTGCCACCTTTACAGGACGAGTTTTCTGACAGGACCTGTGCACACAACAAATGAAGAAAATCCAGCCGGATTCTGACCACAGAGATTTATAAAAGTATTTTGAAAGCACACTGTTCAGTGGTTGGCATAGTAGGTGGCTGAGTGAGATACCTCCATGGAGCCAGTCTTGCGGTTCCGGATCAGAGGGGATTTCCTCTGGGTGCTGATGGCCTCTGAAAGGGGCAAAGCGCGGTCAGGCTCATCTTGTACGAGATTTTCCAAACTACCAGGGTCTGTTTGCTTCTGATCATTCTATGTAAACACACACAAACACAGACATGGAAACTTCAGCAAACAAACCTAGCTATCATTAGCTGAACAACAATCTAATCCAAACATAATGAGAAAATGGAACAAAGGAAAGTCAGTTACTTCAGCAGAGGCTGGTCGGAAGCCAAAGCCCATCGGAGCGCTCTCCTCCTCAGATACTTTGACCCCAGGGCTGAAATGCAGTTCCACATGGAAGCGTTCTTCAGAGGATGGGTCCTGAGTTAACAAAATATCACAATTGTCACATTTCTTTGAAGCACTTTGAAGATGGTAAGATGGCGCCGACGCTGATGGCTGCCTCCGTGGCATGCTCCGCAGTTGTTTTTATGTTTTTGTTAGTTTGTCCTGTCTTTAGTTATATCCCTGCAATCAGTTTCACCAGAGACGAAATTGCTGGACATTCGGCAGTACACACCACCCGATATTTCACCGGTTTTCGACTATTCGGATGTTTTGCTGGACATTGTTGTCGGGGGAGCTGTGGCGCTGATTAAGCGCTTCAGGACACGCAGACGGGGGAAGCAAGCCGGCGCGCTCGTGAAGCTCAGACAGCGCGGATTCAGGACGCCGTTGCCGAGCATCCATCTGGCGAACCTCCGCTCTCTACCCAACAAAACAGACGAACTCCTTCTGCTATCCCGGACAAATAAGGATTTTTCTAACTCTGCTGCTCTGTGTTTCACGGAAACCTGGCACTCTATTGAGATTGCACAGTCCACAGCTCAGTTATTACAGTTCACTTATGTTTATTCTGTGCCTCAAAGGAGCAGAACAGACAGTGAGAGCAGGATGTACCTTATTGTTGTCTTCATAGAGCATTATGACGATCTGGGTCATGTAGTTGAGCTCAGACACGGCACTCAGATAATCCATGGCTCTCTTCCACTGCTGGTCCTTCTCCTCCTGAAACATCATGCATCCTTTAACACTCAACTGATACCACAATCAAAGACAATTGCTTAAAAAACTGCTCTTGTTCTCTCTTTTACTTTTCATTTGTACTACTGCTATAGCTTCTGCACTTCTCTACCCTTTTGAAAAAGAAGTACACTTTAGCATGGAGTACTTCAGTAGTTAAAAACTGCTTTCTTCTCATGGTTGACCTACCAGGCTTACTTGTTGTGTCAGTCATTTTGACTTTACCCTCAATACATTTCTCAATGCTAAAGTGGCATAAGTGCAGTTACACCCCTTTGGCACCAACTGGCTTAGTATTTTCAGTTTTAAGTCTTTTGGTTTCTAATGAATAACTCCAATTATGAATTCACTTGTGTCCTTTTGGCAGTAAAAAGAGCTCATCAAGAGCTTTCATTTGATGTAATGATGAAGTTGGAATTTACTACATTTAAAATCTATTAATTTCTAATGTGCTATGATACTTACATCCAATAGGCCACCATAACGGAAGATGCTAAGCAGTGAGTGGACATGACTCTCGCTCGTGAAATACAGCCGAGTTCGGACATGCCTACCTGGTGACAGCACTCCACGTGAATATCTGGGACACAAAGAGATGGACAAGTGTGAGCTCTCATGCTCAATAGGAGAGATCAAATAAAAGAAAGAAAGAGATGAGATTGACAAAACAGGGCATCTCACAGTGGATGCAGCTTGTTTACAGACTCATCCTCATGTGTCCTCTGAAGGTCAAGCTGAATCTTCTTCACTAAAGGCAGACAGTAGGCATACGCAATATCCAGCTTCTCCACCTTATTAATGCCGTACTCCTAAAAAAGTAGTTTGAAGGACAGTTGTAGTACAGTTGAAACACTCAAATATATACTTTTTAAAAATTATTTAAATTACAAAAACAAAACAAAATAACTAAAACTCTAACTAAAATTAAAATGAAAACAGAAAATGTAAAAATAAAATCTAATTCAAAATATTAACAAAAACTAGTATGTCAATGATACTAAAATAGCACGGCTGTTAGTTGGACTATTGATAATAGTAAGATTATCTGTTGGACTACATTTTTAGATTTCACTTTTTGCTGTGGTATCCAAGAACTGAGTGATATGTGAAAAAATATTTAAACCGATTTTTTCCCCCCAAACAAAGCAATAGCTAGTGCTAGTGAAAATATTTGGAGAAATATCGGTATTCAAACAAACCTGTTGCTAAAGAAACTATGTAAAAACTGTATAAAAATAAATTTTCAGCTCTGAGGAAATGCTGAATGAGTTCATGAGTTTCAGAATTTTCTCACACACCTGTGGTATGACAGTGTTGGCTAGTGCTCTAGAGAGCTTGAAGAGTTCGTATGTGTCCTCCAGGCCCAGAGAGACGTTGTGCTGCACGTCATACTTAACACAGTCGTAAATGTCAGGAATCTTGCTGATGTCGTAGCGGCCACTCTTCATGCGGAAGTCCCTTTCCAACTTAGACCAGCGCTGCAGCATCATCTCCAGTGTCTCACTGTGGTACAGCTGTAAATCTGAAAGGCAACACCAACTCACTTACTCAGGTCTTTTTTTCACAAGTTACTCATTTTGGCCTTTTAATGTGTTTTTCTCTCTTCTATGAGCACAGAGCAATCACCTGCTGATTTGGGGTCTTCAAGTCTTTTGCGGATCTGTGAGGTGAGGCTCTGGACAAGGGTGTAGACTTGATCACACGTACTTACTGGATTCTCCACAGCCTTCATAGAGTTCACCAGAGAGCTGCTGCATGTTGGAGCCAGCTGGAGAAACAAAAGAGATAAAGTGGACACAGGTGTGTTTTCATATCAAGTCAGCGGAGGGCTGAATACACCCTTAGTTCAAAAGCTGTCTGATGCTTCGATTTACCCTGTCAAAATCTTCTTCTGTGAAGATTTCATCTTTCTGCATGATCTCGTGAAGTCTGGCCTTAACCCTCTGCTGACAGCCACTGAGGGATTCGATATCGTTATCCAGCAGGCCGTTCATATTTGCACTCTTTACCATCTGGACCAGGATCGGTGTCAGTTCCCCTTCCAGTGCCAAGAGACCCTGACAGCCAGACAACCAACACCAACTTAACATCCTCTGACAACTTAATATTTTTAAACCTTAGACGACCTGTATTTGTTGTGACTAAAGACCTTCGCAAAGGCAGCAGCAGTCATTTGCACCCTGCCCTCATCAGAGGCATAGATCTTCAGGTCATGCCGGTAGGTGCTGTGTAGCCTGAGCAGGCCGCAGCCTGGAAAGCCAGCATAATCCCCTACAAGTGGACAAGAACATAACATTCACAGATGAAAACATGATGAGACTAAATAGCCATATTGAACTGAGGCAATCAACCCTGTTCCTGAAAACCCAGTCTTTCTGGGTTTCGCTCCAAAGCTAATCAAGGTCTTGCTTGACAGTAAGAGGCATGGGTGTTGGAACAAAACTCGGCAACATAGTATCTGCAGGAACAGGGTGGAACACCCCAGTATAGTCTACATTAACATCCAAAGGTTTAACAAGTCCAAAGACTGAAAATGTTTTCATAACATAACTGCAAACGGGTATATTTTTCTCTCAAATCTCATTCATTCCAGTGTTCAATTCGAGTTTGGCAACTTCAGTCACAAAACCAATAAGCAAAACATGACTGTAAATAAAATATGCGAGATAAGAAAGAACGGAAGTTTATTAGTGAACAACAGCTAAAATTTAAAGGGGTCATGAACTGAGAAATCAAATTTTTTTTGACATATAAGAGACATTGTACTATATAAACATTCTGTAAGTTTCAGAACTCAAAACTTTCTCGTTAGTCTAAAAACAGCTTATATTGAAGCCAATCTGCCATAACAGGTTGTGGAATGTGCCACTTTATGACGTAATAGTGTGGCTAAACACTGCCTCTGCAGGAGAAGATCAACACCTGCTTCTACAGCACTGCCTCTTTAGCCCCGCCCACCGATTTGCACACGTAGTGTAAATAACGAGAGAGGCAAACGCAGGTACACAGAAACCAAACGGTAAAGATGGCTCAGAATACAACAATATGCTGTGCATTGCCTTCCTTCTGATCCCAACATTAGAAAATAATGGATGAACTTTATTTTTAAATCCTCTGAAAAGTTTTTTTTTAAAGTGTCAGACCACGTCAGTAAGAACTTGGTCATTTGTTCACTTCATTTCACCGCAGATTCATTCACAAACAAGGCACAATTCGACGCAGGATTTTCAGAAAGATTGAAAATAAAGACTATGCTGTGCTGAATGTATTGGATCCGACAATAATGTCACACCACACAAGTGTGAGTAACAGTTTTTATTACGTGGTCACTATTGCTTTGTCTGTAAATACAGATTGTTTGATATGTACTGAGTACTTATGTGATTTTAATCTAAATCACAGCAGTGTCCATCTTTGAAGGATGTAGGCTGTCAAACATACACAACTGCAAGCCAATCATAGCAGTGGACGAGTCTACAATCAATCACGCCTATTCAAACAGAACGTTCTGATGAGGGGGGTCAAAACAAGACCGAAAAAATGCCTTTTACTTCTAAATTATGATGTTTTTTGATGTAAACATTTTGAGATCATTATAAGTGGACATAATAATAAAATAAGGCAGTTCATGACCCATTTAAGTCTGATCTTCACACAGATGTATCAGAAGACAATAAAGTGATATGAACAATATAGTTTTATGACACTTTTATAATGCAAATGGCATAAAACTGCCTCACAGAAAAAAAGAGGCAGAAATTATAACCAAGAACAAACAAGAAAAAGGGAAGTGAACAATATAAAGACTGCTGAATAGGCACTGGGTTTTATACCAACATTGGGCAACACTTCATACTATCTTACATTTAACACATTTCAAGAACATGAAGCAAAATGGTTGTATTATAATAAATACTTCATAGATCTTTGTTTAATACAGTGCAGCAGGGATGACATATTTTTGTAGGCCAACCCAAAGCCAATAGGATTTCTCCTGAAGTAAAAAGCTAAATCGTCAAATGTTGCCACCATTAAGCTTCTGAAGACTCTTTCCATTTTTTTATTAAAATCTACAAGTTGGGAAGTGAGTAAGAATAACTTGCAAGAATGCAAATATAAACACAACAAGGGTGTAAACGTGGACTAGTGAGTAGATGAGTTTTCCTGTTTGGCATGATGACGTTTAATGTCCCCAACAACCTCCGTAGTCCCATTTAGCCACTTCTTAGCAATTGCCTTTTCAAGAAACAAAAAGCTTAAATTCACAAGTGAGGTATTACTGAAGTATTTTATGCTGTGGAATTAAACTGTGAAAATATCTTGAGCGCTCTGTTAACCACAGACATTTAACCAAAATCAGTTATTTAACTATGATTCATATATTCATATTCATATAATTCACCAACTACTCATCTATTAAGCATTACAGTATATAATGCTTTTAGATGATTGATTAATGAACATAATTAAGATGTCCAATATTCTGTCACATGTGTTTTATGTGTAATGTTGGATTAGAATGCTGTAAGGAGGAACTAAAAAGCATGAGATTTGTGGACTCGGAAACTCATGATGAAGAACATCTAAAGTGCGAAATGTGTGATTGTTGTGCCAACCAGTGATGAATGTCTGTGTCCTTAAGCTTAAGAGACTGACAGACAGGAGACAGGTCTACCTTGACCTCCAGGATACATGCAGCGAAAAGCCCTGCCAAGTTCTTCAGCCTGAACTCTGCCAGCTGGAGTCAGCTCTCCCCCCCACTTCAGCACCAGCAGTATAGAGGGGCCCTCCTTACGAGTATCTGCACACAACACACACAGCAGCACCATCATGCACAACATGATTCAAGCCAAAGAGGACATGTATCCCGATCAGCAATCCTCATACCTTCCTCCTCACTGGATGTTTTGGGCTGTCCATGAGGAAGGTAGGTTAGCTGCACTTTCCTATTGATTCCAGAGAAATGGCCATACCTAAAAAAAAATCAGAACAGAGACAATAGTTTAATTAGGCCATATCCTATAGGCTCCAAAGAAGTTTACCTTCCACCTCACTGTTTTTGACTGATGTCTATATTAACATCTTGCCAGGACTTGCCAGATCAGCTGCTCTGAAATATATCCAGCGAATCTACGCTATTCCAAAATGAGTGATGCTTGACAAGGGTTGTGAAAGGGGACACTGCATATTGTGCTACTGGACGAATCTTACAACTGAGATTCTAAAAATACAGCATGTTGGTAATATATCTGAACATTGTGTTCATATACAACATCCATCAACTAAATCTCCTTTAAGACATGTTAAAGATGTCTCCTTTGACACACTAGAAACATTATTGTATTTTTTGTTGATGTAAGAAAGCATCTGTTAGGAATATGAAGGCACGTAATGTATATGTATATATTTAATGTATATATTTAATTGTAAATGAGACATGTATCTATTTCTTTGGAAAATATGTCATGTCACAGGACACTGCAAATGTGCCAGTTAGCATGGCCCAGTTACCATCTTACATTAACATACATTTCTAGAACAGTCTTTAGTTGTTCAAGCTTGGACTTCTTCTCCTCAATTTCACAGTCAGTATGTTGTCCTATGTCTGTCAAGAGTGTCCTGGTAATGTCCAGCACTTCCTGTGGAAACAGCGCAGCACAGATATGCTTTTAACAATAAATTTAACATTTAAATGAGTGGCTCTGAAACGGGCTCACTATGGGGTCTCAACAAACTTCCAAGGAGGCCTCAAGATGATTTAAAGTGTTGCAAAATAAGACAAAACAGGTATTAAAATAAGTTTAAAAAAATTAACTAAAATATCAAATTATTTCTTATTTTAATTTACCACCTCATTAAAATTTTAATTCCTTTGAGTAACTAAGATTCCAGAGTCTTTGAGAACTTGAATATATGAGGTAGCCAAATTTTAAAAGTGTGATTTGTAGACCTTGGAAAAGTCATGTAAATTAATAAAATCTTAAAACACCATTAGGCATTTGACAATGAATATACATACATTAAAATAAATCTTTAGCCAGTAAATAACAAATGACTAGAAGAGTCATGTAAAGACAATAATTTTTTTAATTACACTAGGAGTGGCCATAGAAAAAAATAGGTGTGCTTTGAATCCATAAGGTTGAGAACGACTGGTTTAAATTCAACAAAATATAAAAATTGTAATTAAAATAAATAAAATTGTTACCTGCAGTTGTTTGGGTTTCTTTAGCTTCAGCTTGCCTGTTTTATACCCACCATATTTTTCAAAAAGCTCAAAAAACCTGGAAGAAAGGAACAAGCACGATATTTTGCATTTTGGATCCATTAGTCATGCTTTAAGTGATTAAGTCTATTGAGTAGGTGACAAGAACACACATGGGATTCCGAACTTCCATCTTCATCTTCTGCTTTGGTGTACGATCTCCATGACGGATCACAGCTATCACACAGCGCAGCTCCATCCTAACGGACAGAACCACCAAAAAAGTAATTCTGATGCAATACCATAATAGGGGCACTTGGCATTTATTTTAAAGAAAGATTAATTTTACTTCCATTAACATATAGTGTACACTACTTTAATGAGTCAAAGATGTGAGTATAGCATGTGATAAGTACATGGTCCCTGATGTAGTGGGTACAATAGGAATGTCCTCTGCCTCTGTAGGTATGGACCAGGGGATCTGGAACTGTGGAGCCAGCTCCCTCATCACAATATTTCTGAGAGAAAGAACAAGCCAAACTCATCACATGTTGTGCATTTTGCAACTATATGTCAATCTGTTTGAATGACAAACATTTTGAATCTTTATCTGATTATTAGGCTTTACCCCAGGATCTTAGCACAGTCATCATAGTATTTCATGGAATTCTTCACAAAGCTAAATCCGTTAACGTCACACACATACGAGTGGCCGTTGGCTCGGAGGAGGTCGAATCCACACACTGTTTGCTAGAGTGCAAAGAGAATTTTTAAAAATAAAATCAATATGAACAGGTTTAACTGAACTGAAAGAAAAAAAAATGCCTTAAACCCTGAAGCCCAGAAAATGTAATCTATCAGAAACATTTTCATTCTGTACTTGTTTCATGAAACCAAGAAACGAGCAGCTCATCTGACCTTGAATGCCAGACACACTTTACGGGCCACAAGCTTCTCCATAGCAGTGAGCATGACTGGGTAGCGGATTTCTTTGCCTTCACTGTCTCGCTCAACTTTCCCGTCGAGAGCAGGGGACTTACGAGCCTCTGCGTGAGCGTAATCTGGCCCTACTGTATACACCTGTAACAAAACAAGCACGCACAAAAGCAAAAAATACTATTTTCATCTTATTTTCAAAGGAGAGCTGTAAACAAAAAAAAAAGACATTTTACAAATAGCACGAGTTTCCAGGCACACAGCATAACAAGATGAACGAGAACTAAGTCTAAAACAATAAACTGTCTAAGAAATGTTGCTGCTCCTCTAAAAAGAGCAAATTTACAATTGAACTAAACATGTAAGAAAACAAAACTTTGCTCTGTATAGATCAAGAGGAACAGGGTAATGCAATCCATGGGTAAAAATGATGTTAAATTATTTAGTACCTTCACATCTGTGCCATCAGTTGGCATGAACTCTTCATAGATATAGGAGCCAGTTTTCCTCACACTGCTCTCTGGAGAGTAAACACTACTTCTGCTCCCAATCTGAAACCGAGACACATCCACACTCAAATAATTTGCTTAACATTGTGCATTATGTGCAGAATTCACAGTTTTGTATACAGTTTTGTTAATAAACTATAATTCATTTCACTGTAGGCAGTGCTAGGAAGTTACTATGAAACATGAAACCATTTGTGACCATGGACCACAATCCGTGTATCATTCGATCATTCGTTTTTGATTAAATATTGAAAGTCGAAAAATTAGAAAACGGCTCCTTTTTCGTATTTTCGTTTTTTTCCAAAACATGAAAAACGAGAATTCAGCTTACATTTTCGTTTTTTGTTCTTGGGTGGGAAAATGAATAAACAGCTTGAATATTCGATTTCTACACGTGGGCGGGAATTAAACGCCCCTTTCTGCTGATTGGTCAGCCGAAAATCAAACCGTGCCATCATCAGTTCTTCCGCAGTATCACGCAGCAGAATAATAGTTCTCCACTGCTGCAGTTGTACGGATTCTTAACACATTTATTGCAACTACATTTAGTCTTTTTTCATCAAACAAATAGGCTAATGAATAGCTCGACACAACTCATACCTGGGCAGATTCTAGACAGGGCTTTCTTCTGTGTAGATATAAATTCTATTCTTTGCATCAGCTGGGCATGGCAGGGTATGATATGACCTACCCTGTTCACCCAGTAAGTCTGTTTGTTTAATTAATTAATTTGTTTCAAAATAAATATTTTAAACACTAAGACAAAAAGGAAAGAATAATAAATTGGCTTGGGTATATAGGCCTATGTTCACGCAAGAACTGTCATTCTGACTGACAACCAGAGAACAACAGATATTAAATAGCCTACTGTTAAGAGTTATATAATGTAGTCTTGTGTTTTATTAAAATTGATTATAAAATTCTTCACAAAGCTAAATCCGTTAACATCACACACATACGAGTGGCCGTTGGCTCGGAGGAGGTCGAATCCACACACTGTTTGCTAGAGTGCAAAGAGAATTTTTTTAAATAAAATCAATATGAACAGGTTTAACTGAACTGAAAGAAAAAAAAATGCCTTAAACCCTGAAGCCCAGAAAATGTAATCTATCAGAAACATTTTCATTCTGTACTTGTTTCATGAAACCAAGAAACGAGCAGCTCATCTGACCTTGAATGCCAGACACACTTTACGGGCCACAAGCTTCTCCATAGCAGTGAGCATGACTGGGTAGCGGATTTCTTTGCCTTCACTGTCTCGCTCAACTTTCCCGTCGAGAGCAGGGGACTTACGAGCCTCTGCGTGAGCGTAATCTGGCCCTACTGTATACACCTGTAACAAAACAAGCACGCACAAAAGCAAAAAATACTATTTTCATCTTATTTTCAAAGGAGAGCTGTAAACAAAAAAAAAAGACATTTTACAAATAGCACGAGTTTCCAGGCACACAGCATAACAAGATGAACGAGAACTAAGTCTAAAACAACAAACTGTCTAAGAAATGTTGCTGCTCCTCTAAAAAGAGCAAATTTACAATTGAACTAAACATGTAAGAAAACAAAACTTTGCTCTGTATAGATCAAGAGGAACAGGGTAATGCAATCCATGGGTAAAAATGATGTTAAATTATTTAGTACCTTCACATCTGTGCCATCAGTTGGCATGAACTCTTCATAGATATAGGAGCCAGTTTTCCTCACACTGCTCTCTGGAGAGTAAACACTACTTCTGCTCCCAATCTGAAAAAGAGACACATTCACACTCAAATATTCCTTTACTCCACATAGTGCATTTTGTGCATAATTCACAGTTTTGTTAATAAAAAAAGTTATAGTTCATATAACTGTAGGCAGTGCTAGGGAAGTTACTATGAAACTACTACAAGCGGCTAATAATTTTAAATTTTAAAGTTATAAATCATAAATACAACTAATAAAAATTTAAATGCACCATAATTTATGTAACTGAATCAAATGCGTGATAAACATCCGAATTTAGAGCTGCAAAGTGTACTTTTTGGACACGGTGTTACCAAATGGAACAGTTTTGCAAAAGTTTCATTAACACTATCCCTATCTGTTATTGGTCGAACAAATAATGCTCTACCCCAAACTCACAACACTGGTTGAGCAAGTGTTACTGTGTAAGGATGGTCAAGATGCTCAAAAAAAAAAAAAGTTTTAGCCACACTGTTTTCAGGGAGTTAACATACAGAAGGCTTACTTAACTCTTATAGTATTTTTAAAAATCCAAATGAAAAAAAAGCTTGTGTTAACCACAGACCGTTTTTCAGGCATTTAACCAAAAAACACCCAAATTGTTTCTGGGTTTTAGGACTTTCCTGCAGCACTCTATAACTCTGGTTGGTAAATCAAAGGTTTTAATGAATTAATGAACTGCTAAAACAAGACTTCAAGTAAGTAGTGTTGCTCATTTTAGCTGATTACTCCCCAACACAACCAAGGGAGCAAATTACAGAAAAATTCATTGTTTGACATTTTCACAGGCAAAAGTCCAGTAATTTCAATAGAAATCCATGCGATTGGGAACTTCATATGAGGGCAAAATGCAGATAAAAGATTTTTCCCATGCAGACCTTGCAAAAGGTTCAAGTTGGTAACTCAAACTCGCTTGACCAGCAGAAAGCAGCTGGGTTTGAAAGTGACTTCTGTGTGAGCTGTGCTTCATACATCCCTACATTATTGACAATAGACAACTGACCTTTTAGCCCACAACATTTTGCTGAAATGTTACCAATGTGACCGTACCTTCATTAGACTAATTGATGATGCAGAAATGTTTAGTAACTGAAGCTGCTTTTTGATTTTATTGACTTATTTTATGGTTAAGACTTCGGTGGAGAAACACATGACATACCTTTAGAGTGAAATGAGATCAGGCAGTCACAGAGTGGCCACCTCTCCACCGGTTCATTGAGTATGACGTCCTCTGGAAAGATGACCACTGTGATGTACTCAAACTTGCAAAGACGCTCCAAGATCTGAGTCATGGGTTTGGACTTGGATTTCTTCATCATACAGCAAATCCCCACCACGATCTGACACTCTGGAGGCTTAAGAGAAACAGCAAGAATTTAAATAAGACATACCGGTATCTACCTAGACATATCAAACTCAGCAGTAGGGCGATTCGACAGAAGCTGCGATTGTCATGCGTATCTTTCAGTGAAGCACGGTTCTGTGATCAGCAGTAAATCTCCATCCAAACCCTAACCTAACCCTAACCCACGATCTCGCGCTGAAACTCCAAATACGCCTCGCAGAAGAAACCCAGAAAAGGCCTATCGCTGCAGCTGAATAAACAGAAGATTAAACTGCTTTCATTGATTTAACGTGACTAATAAACACACGACTACGGCAATATACAGTTTATCGGAGTTCTTATTATTATAATCTTCATTAAAATAAAGTATATTTATCACCAAGGGAGCAAATTACAGAAAAATTCATTGTTTGACATTTTCACAGGCAAAAGTCCAGTAATTTCAATAGAAATCCATGCGATTAGGAACTTCATATGAGGGCAAAATGCAGATAAAAGATTTTTCCCATGCAGACTTTGCAACAGGTTCAAGTTGGTAACTCAAACTCGCTTGACCAGCAGAAAGCAGCTGGGTTTGAAAGTGACTTCTGTGTGAGCTGTGCTTCATACATCCCTACATTATTGACAATAGACAACTGACCTTTTAGCCCACAACATTTTGCTGAAATGTTACCAATGTGACCGTACCTTCATTAGACTAATTGATGATGCAGAAATGTTTAGTAACTGAAGCTGCTTTTTGATTTTATTGACTTATTTTATGGTTAAGACTTCGGTGGAGAAACACATGACATACCTTTAGAGTGAAATGAGATCAGGCAGTCACAGAGTGGCCACCTCTCCACCGGTTCATTGAGTATGACGTCCTCTGGAAAGATGACCACTGTGATGTACTCAAACTTGCAAAGACGCTCCAAGATCTGAGTCATGGGTTTGGACTTGGATTTCTTCATCATACAGCAAATCCCCACCACGATCTGACACTCTGGAGGCTTAAGAGAAACAGCAAGAATTTAAATAAGACATACCGGTATCTACCTAGACATATCAAACTCAGCAGTAGGGCGATTCGACAGAAGCTGCGATTGTCATGCGTATCTTTCAGTGAAGCACGGTTCTGTGATCAGCAGTAAATCTCCATCCAAACCCTAACCTAACCCTAACCCACGATCTCGCGCTGAAACTCCAAATACGCCTCGCAGAAGAAACCCAGAAAAGGCCTATCGCTGCAGCTGAATAAACAGAAGATTAAACTGCTTTCATTGATTTAACGTGACTAATAAACACACGACTACGGCAATATACAGTTTATCGGAGTTCTTTGAACTACGGCTATGTGTAGTAAATTCTGCTCCATCTGAAAGCACGTTATGATGATTTCCTGCTGATTACAGAACCGGACTTTTTAACAAAATGCGCATGACAATCGCATTCGATTAATCGTGCAGCCCTACTCAGCAGCAAGACTGCATGTGAGTGGCCATACTTATGTGTACAGATGTTGAAAAAAACACTTCAGGAGAATCGCAGGAACAACCGGAGACATACTGCATAACAAAAACAGCCCTGAATTATATCAAAATCTAAAATATTAAAAAGGTTAAGCCAAGGCATTGTTTATTCCTTAAATCGGACTGTTTGACATTTCAAGGGTATTGATGAACTCTCTATAATTGCATGGCCGTAAAGCAGGTTTGTTGCACAGTACTTCGCCACTGAACATTTTAAAATTAGTAATGGTGGCATAGGCTTCTAAGCAATACACTTAATTGGCGGTTCTATACTGTGTTCTATACTGCTGTTCAAAAGTTTAGGGTTAGTAAATTTTTTTTAATTAATACTTTTATTTAGCAAGGATGCATTCAATTGATTATAAGTGACAGTAAAGTTTGTTAAACAGAAATGTTTCTTAAGCACCACACTGGCATATTAGAATGATTTCTGAAGGATCATGTGACACTGAAGACTAGAGTA